GGCTTGAGAATCCTGATTCGGCAGAAACAAAGGAGTTTGTGCAGAAGCAGGTTGAATTGTGTGAATCAGTGCTTAAAAAATGTAATACTCGTGAGCAAATTCGTGAGAAAGTTACAAAGCTCTTTGATTATCCACGTTACCGGGCTCCATATAAACGAGGCAATAAGTATTTCTACTCTCATAACTCTGGACTACAAGCACAAGAAGTTATATATGTGCAGGTCTGTTTGGAAAAAAAAAAAAAGAACCGAAAATAATATGTTATCTAATGGTCTTTAATCTGACTAGACTTTAGAGGATTCATGTGATGGTTTTTTTTTTTTTTTTCCTTTCTGAACTTTTTTCTTGGCAATCATGTTCAGGATAATTTGGATGGAGAACCAGAGGTTCTGCTTGATCCTAATGCACTCAGTGAAGACGGAACTGTATCCTTGAACACAATGTCTGTCAGCAAGGATGCCAGGTACCTGGCATATGGGCTTAGTTCAAGTGGCAGTGATTGGGTAACCATCAAAGTAATGCGCGTTGAGGATAAGACATCTGAGCCTGATACTTCATCATGGGTGAGTTACTTTCCTCTCCTGCATAAACTGGATGGAGAGTCCTTTGATGAGAATGAGAGTTACTGTAATATGCATCTTTTGTTGTTGCAGGTCAAGTTTTCCTCTATTAACTGGACTCATGATAACAAAGGCTTTTTCTATAGTCGCTATCCAGCTCCCAAGTAAGTAACAAGATGTTTTGATCATATTTTGCAGCTTCTATGTCTAAGAAGTTCTGGAAGAAAGTAACGTGTTGCTTTATTGTTCCGTTGTAATGAAAATTTTAGAAAGTTAATCAAGGAAAATGCCTGAGTTTTCAAGTCCTGACTGTAAATGAGCAATAAGCATTTAGGACTAGAACAATGACAACAAGAATTATTAACATTATGAATTTGAACTAACATCGAGTTGTATTAGATTTTTATATTTAAAAGCAGTCAATTGTATTTTTGTTGTGTAGAGAGGGAGAGAACATAGATGCTGGGACAGAAACCAATACAAACCTTTATCATGAGCTTTACTATCATTTCTTGGGTACGGATCAATCAGAAGATATTTTATGCTGGAGAGATTCTGAAAATCCTAAGTTCACGTTTGGAGGCTATGTTACAGATGACGGGAAGGTTAATTTATATTTATGAATTTATCTATATGTTCTAAAGTACAATTTAATGGCATTTTTGTTAGTATTTATTCTCCATTTATTGGTACTCAGTCGTATGGGGGTATCATTGTGTATTACAGCACATAGATATAGAGCAATACACATAAGGTGATTTTATGATGGTTTTTCTTGTTTAATTTGGAAATTTAATGATTTCAATGCTTTATAATTTATAACAGATTTTTTGAAATTTTAATTTTCCAATGATGGTTGTTCTTTAAATGCATTGCACAAGTCACTTTTTTGTATAAGTTGGCTATATTGATATCTCATGTCCCAGAATGTTGATTAATTTTTGCAGAATTCCCTTTTTTTCCCTAAAATTTGATTTGAATTAATCCAACATTTTATGTCACTGTACAGTACCTTCTCTTGTATATCTCGGAGAATTGTGACCCAGTTAACAAAGTATACTACTGCGACATGTCTGCACTTCCTGAAGGTCTTGAAGGTTTTAGGGGAAAAGATTTCCTGCTCCCATTTGTTAAGCTGGTAGATCAATTTGATGCACTGTATACAGCAATTGCAAATGATGACACATTATTTACTTTCCGGACTAATAAAGGTGCTCCAAGATATAAATTAGTCCGTGTTGATCTAAAGGAACCAAGTAATTGGATTGATGTTATCCCAGAGTCTGACAAAGATGTCCTTAAATCAGCAAATGCTGTTAATGGTAATAAGATGATTGTGAGTTATCTAAGCGATGTGAAGTACGTGCTTCAGATAAGGGATTTAGAAACAGGTTCATTTCTGCATCAGTTACCACTTGACTTTGGGACAGTTTCTCAGATTACTGCTAGGCGTGAAGATGATATTTTTTTTTTTTATTTTTCAAGCTTCCTTACTCCTGGTATTATATATCAGTGCAACTTAGGAGCTGGGGTTCCAGATATGAAGATATTCCGTGAAATTTCTGTACCTGGATTTGATCGCACAGAATTTGATGTCAAGCAGGTATATTACTGCTGCTTTTTTCAGATTTTGGTGATATCTGGCTTTTGATTAGGTTGCAGTGCATTCATTATTTTTCTGTTTCCAAAAACCAGGTTTTTGTCCCCAGTAAGGATGGTACCAAAATCCCAATGTTCATTGTGGGCAAAAAGAATGTTGATTTGGATGGATCACACCCTTGTTTATTATATGGATATGGTGGATTTAACATCAGTGTTACACCATCATTCATTGTTTCTCGCATTGTACTAGCTAGGCATTTAGGTGCCTTTTTCTGTATTGCAAACATTCGTGGTGGGGGAGAGTATGGAGAAGAATGGCATAAAGCAGGTTCACTTTCCAAGAAGCAAAATGTATTTGATGATTTCATTTCTGC